TTTGTCTAAACTGACAGAATGCTCGAAATACATCTTTCCAAAATCTATTGGTGGTTTTCTTTTCAATGTGCTTTACATATTCCTGTCCAAAATTCACAAGATCCATAAAATTGTATGATAATGTATCTAACAACAATTGATGCCATGATACAGCCCATCAGTATTCTCAACCACGAAATTTTCAAGCTATCAATAAACCATTTGACTGAAATCATATGTAGTCCACCATGCTGGTAAACTTGAATTAATGTATTTCTTGCTATTCTATCCTTCTTATTGTTCCATATGAAATTTAAAAAAAAATGCACTTTCTAAATCCTTTATATGTTCTTCACTCAAATTTGGTAGGCTTATATACAGATGTGTTAATTTAGACAGCATTATTGATTTAACTACAGTAATTTTTCCTGTAACACTTAATAGTCGCCTTGACCAGGACTTTATCAATTTTTTAATATCCTTTACCTTGTTTTCAAAATTTAATTCAACCATGTTAACCAAGTCTACAGTAAAAATAATTCCAAGAAAAGTAAACGATTCTTGGGACCATTTGATTCCATAGTTCGCATTAAAATTTCTCACCGTAAATCTCAATGGTCCAATTTTAATACAGCATGTTTTTTGGTAATTTGGCTTTAAACCGGAGAACTTAGCAAATTGGTCTATTAGTGAAAGTGTGTTTTTTAATGATTTTTATTCATCCGCATACTGCATTATGTTATATTATTTATTTTTAATTTTAATGCCCTTGACTGTTCTACTTGTTCTAAACATAGCACCCATTATCTCTACGCATAACAAGAATAAGTATGGTGAGATCGGATCCCCCTGTCTACAACCACGATATATTTTAAAAAAAGATGAGGCAATGCCACCCTGAGTCACACATAGCTTAAAATTAGTAAAAAATATATCAATCCACTTCTTTATATTTTCCCCAAAGTTGAAAAAACTTAAGACATTTCTAATAAAATTCCAAGATATTGAATCATATGCTTTCTCAAAATCGACCATTAAAACTAGGCCTGGTACGCTATTTTCATTGCAAACATGTATGATATCATATAAAAGACTTGTGTTCTCACCCAAATATCTACCCGCCATAAAACCCTTTTGATTTTCGTGTATTAATTTAGGGAGAAACGGTTTGATTCTATTAGCAATTATTCTAGATAAAATTTTTGTAAGTGACGTTTAATAGACATCGGTCTCCAATTTTTTATAAATTCCCTTGGTTTGTCTCCCTTGAGTAGTATTGAGATAACACCAAATTTCTGCAGTGGCGAAAGTTCACCTTTTTGAAAGGTCTCAATAAATGATCGATGCAGAAAATCGCCAATGTCAACCCAGAAAAATTAAAAAAATTCAGGAGAAAAGCCATCACATCCAGGGGCTGAATCATTTTTACATTCCTTTAGAGACAGTAACACCTCATTTTTAGCAATATTATCCTCTAATTTTGATGACTCAAAGATAATTTTTGAATTTCCAATCCCTCCATTAATTCACCAATCCCAACATTCTCCAAATGGTCCATTTATATAGTTCCTCTTTTCCAGGTTAAGAAAATATTTTGTCGGTTTTTCACCTTGTTCTACCCATCTTGCTCGAGACCTTATCAGTAACCCTTTCATTTCAAGCTCCCTTATATTTTTTAGTTGTGTATTAAGCTCTGTTAATTGTTTCATTCCATTTACATCATTGTTACTGTTAATATCTTCTTGCAATACTTTTATTTGATGTTCAATATTGGCCTTCCGTTCCTTCCTCTGTTTATTCTTCCATGAACTATGTGATATTGTTATACCTCTAATTTTCATCAGCATAATTTCAAAAAATAAATCATCATCAATATTTAATTGTAATTGTTCATTCGGAATAGTCATGATACTACTATCAGGCACCACTGGCGTGGGAACATATTCCATTTTTGTTTGCAAAATACAATCTTCAACTTTTTTCACATACAGTGTATTCATGGTCTTTTAATGAAGAATTATTGAATTTCCCAAATCCCCTCCCCTTTTCAAAAAAAGACATTACTATTTCTAATTCAATATAGGAATGATCTGTGCGATATCCGGGAACAATTTTAACGTCGCGAACTATTGACATTTTAATGTTAAAACTCTTGTGATACCAGGAAAAGTCTAACCGTGCTTGTTTTACTGGATTTGTTCTTTGCCATGTATAAAGTTTTTTATCGGGGTTTTTATTCTCCACGGGTCAACCAAATCAAAATTATTTTTCAGCTCTTCTACAACTTTGTGACTATTTTTGTTGTTTTGTGTTACATAATTGCAACAGTCTAATTCAAAATTTTGGACCAAATTCCAATCTCCACACATAATCAGGAACTCCGATTCATGTTCTTTGCATATTTTATGAATATTCTTATAAAATTCCGGTGAATCTTTATTTGGGCCATAAATATTAATAAGTGTTATTAAAATCGTTTTTTCGATTTTCAGTTCTATTACCAATAAATTACCATTGTCATCTTTTTTAACTCCGTTTATACTATACTCAAAATTATTATTAAATAGGTTTGTTACCCCATGGGAGTCAGTTTTACCAGCAGTCATCAAGTGTTCTAAACCCCATTGTGCATGTATAATCTTATTATCAGACTCTACCAAATAAGTATCTTGTAGACAGTAGATTGAAGCCGTCTTTTCTCTTAAAAAACTAAAAACATCTTTACGCTTAATATTTTCCCTCAATCCTCTACAGTTCAATGATGCAATCTTAATTGTAGTCATTTACGTTAATCTGTTATGCATATATATATTAAAAGCATGCATATCTTATATCTAACAAAATTACCAGTACAGTTGCAGTACCTGGTCTCAGTATGTCCAAACAGTCGGACATACCTACAAAAATATGAAACATTCACACAAAATAACACACACCCAATATGCATGGACAGGACACGCACCACGCACAATGTATACAGCACACACATCCACAAATACACGGTTTCGGTCAAATAGGACTGGGTCTAAGACAATGTTGCTCTAATATTCACACTAAATCAATGTGCTTGCTTAATAATGATACATCAGATCGTTACCTCATGCTGGTAGGCTTTAAGCTTCACAGTGTGGATATATATGACACTTAAAAAAAAACTTACCTTGTGTACTAAATTACAAGAATAAAAGTGCAATATAACATAATCCCTGCAATTAAATCAGACATCATTCCCTGCTGTTCACTGGAATTGTGGTACAGACAATATTACTACCAGTAGGCCTAGAACAGTAAGCAAATACATATAATTATGAGATATTACGAAAATATAACAACTAATATCTAGTTTTGCATGCTGCAGTACCATAATGATTGCTTATGAACAATCATAACGTGATCATTCGTTACCCACTACGTGACCAGATTATTCAGTAGAGTCACTTTCTTTTTTTTTTTTTCTAGTCTATCTCCTACTTCAAATTCCAGTCTTTCTCCACCACCATTCTTCAACGTTGCATAAACATTACAGTTATAATACCATGACCTTTCAACTTCCTCGAACTGTTTTTAGTTTATTGATAAGCATCAGATTTTGTTTTGTAATGTCATCATGTAGTCTTATACCCGAATTAATTTCACGCTTCTTTCGCATAATCTGCCGCTTGACCTCTGAGTTACCGAATTTCACGATCACTGGCCTTATCGCCCCTGGTCTTCCTGGCAACCGGTGTATCCCGAGAATATCCCTGTCATTAATCTCTACTTTCATCTCTAATTTCACCATTTGTTGGAAATCATATCTAAGGTTTTCCTTTTCTTTCTCCTTCATTTCTGTTACTCTAATGGTACATTTCCTTGAGTATTTTTCATTGTGGTTTGCTAGCCTCATTGCTTGTTTGAGACTAATGTCATTCTTTCCTACCTTTTCTTCTAGCTGTTTCAGTTGCCTGTCTTTCTCTCTCAGCTTTTCTTTTAAATTACCATTGTCCATCATGAGACTGTCAACATAGTCCTGAAGCTTACCTGTTCGATCAAGGTTCTCAGCTGCAACTTTTTCATAAGTTTCAATTATTCGGTCACACTTTTTATTGAGCTCATTTTTTATTTTGTCAATTTTCATCTCAACCTTTGCGTCTGATTCCTGCAATAGCTTTTAAAATTCCTCTCTAGTGCTCTGAACAAAACCGTAAATGATACTAGTTACCATTTCTGACAGGTCTTGCTTTTTTATTGTGTCTTTTATTTCATTTTTAATTTCAGAAAGCTCACTTTTCAGGTCATTCATTAAAAGTCTACTTTCTTCAGCACTAGAATTTGCAACTTCACAGTGAGGTCTTTTACCTGTTTGGAAATCAAAGCTGTCCTTTTGTTTACCACCCTGTGAGGGCTTGCCTTGAACTGCTTTCACCGCACCTGGTCTTGATGACATTATTACAGTCAGTACCACAGTTGTGCAATATAATTGCCTATAATTGCCTCTTACACTGAGCTTTACTCAATCACTTCTTGCAGTACTACTCAAGTCTACATATATGTGTCATTTTGAGGAACAAATCCTGTTATTCTACAAACACCACAAATTTTGCAAATTGTTCCAGTGATACTGATCCATAGCCTTCTCTATGCATTGATGAGCAACACTGCCAATTTTTGAATCTTACACCTTACTCTGTTTGTTGAATTATCAACATTTGTAGCAGCCCTCCTCAGGTGTGACTGCCTATAGACAAATGACCTTGACCTCCTATACATCTTATACTAAGTAGGCGAGACACCTACCTACCTACCTATCAGAAACGATCTTTCCTCATAATAAAGGCGAGAAGCCTAACGCACTCTAAAAGCCGCTCTCAACTCTGCAAGGGGCGCTGTCAAAACACACGTCCTCGAAGGCCCAGCTCTGAATCGTGTTATTTTGGTAAAGTGGAATCTAACTAGGGCATGAGCCGACCACCCCCAGCACTTAGAGAAAATCTCCTGCAGAGTTGGATCGATCCAGCTAAAACGATAAGTTAAGCACTTACGAGCATCGCCGACTGCACAAAGTGTCGCCATCATCAAAACAACACGAACGAGCATGGGACTTGTCATCTTCATCTTCATCTTCAGACGATAGTTCTACCGCTGATGAATTAATTTCTGGCAAATTGCAGGTCTGTTGGATGTCAGATCCAGTCTGTTTGTCTGATGAAACGTTTGGCGGACTGCACCTTTAAATGAGAATTCTCGGTGTCGGCTGTGACTGCTTTACAGGAATTATCCTATCATAGTTCTTGACAGAAAACTCCCTATTTGTCCAATAAAACGATGTACAGCTACGTTTTGGGGCGTCATTGATTTTCATAGTGGTCTAAAACATTAAATCTCAATTCTCTTTTGTATATTTCTGTTTTTCATATTAGTTACACTGATAGACGCGCTTTCCTACTTTCTGTTAGGCCAAAACTAGGTATATGTAAAACATTTCCATATCATCTAACTGACGACAGTTGCTTTAACAGATGAAAGTTGCTACTGAATTTGATTGGGCAATCTTGCAACAAGCATAATCTGCATATACACCATCAGAGGGGTGGGATGGAGCTAGAGTCTCAAGTATCTCATGGTGGTCACGTTGAAATATCGTCAGTAGTTTGATAATCCATCAGTATCAATCGGTCAGTTAGTAAAAAAGCTTTCAGTTTCCTTATGCTGTCCAACAAAATCAAATTGCCTCCCAGGGTCCCTGTCGTGAATATTCCCTTCGACACTGCTGTATAGAAAGTAACATTATCCGTATGCAGGTAATGATGTCGAAACTCGTGTTGATCTTTCCACTTTTGCTACACTCTGTCATATTATGATTCAGAATTTGAAGTAAACCTCATGGCATTTAGTGAAGAGAATGATGAGATACAGTGTTGGGATATATGCCGAATATTACTGATATCCTTTCAAGGCCACGGCGATCACTAAATTTTGGGGACTGTCCCAAGTCGGTAGAGCTCAGCTTTGATCGCTTAAGCAATTCACATGAAGCCATAAACTCTCTGTCATGCAGATGAAAAATTCCTCAAACCTTACCTAGCAAGAGTGATGTGAGACCGGTGCTACTTTTCAGCGATTTTCACTGGTGACAAGACCTTTGAGAGTTCTGTTAACAGTTAGCATTCTAGTGGGTGGGCCATATTTGATCCCTGCCGAGATCACTTGGTCACCTCTTTGTATATACTGGGTTGGAAAAATCGTCAGCATTTCTGAAGTATTTCTCACAGAAATATCACTCTGACGATGAGACTGGCACTGCAACGCTATTCTTCTCTCTCACCCCCCCTCCTCCCAGAACAAGTGAAACTGAGGTGAATGTGACTGATACGGAGATCAGATCAATAATTGCTAGCTTGGATAGCTCAAAGGCAAGTGTTCCAGACTCTGTGACGATTCCCTTACGAAAATTTCCTATAGGATTTCCTATAAGATTTCCTATAGGATCCTATAGGAAATTGCCCCATTTTCCTATAGGAAATCTTATAGGATCCTATAGGAAATCCTATAGGAAATCTTATAGGATCCTATAGGAAATCCTATAGGAAATCTTATAGGATCCTATAGGAAATCTTATAGGAACCTATAGAAATTCATATTAACTGCTTTGAATATTTTTTACAGCTTTTTATATATTGTTGGATCTTTGGCAAAATTGGTAATAGGCACTGGTCTCTCAAAACAAAAGAGAGTATCATGTTTACATTCTTTATTCAATATGTATAAATGTATGTACATATTCCACAGTATGGTATGCAACCAGCTTACTAGAGAATTGTTTCATAGATTTTTGCAAATTTAACGGTGTTGCTACTGCTTTTTAATTATAAGTTCTATAAGTTATCACAAGGATCCAATATGTCTTGTCAAGCTGTGGCGTCAGTCTTTTTCTTGTGTGCGTTTGAACTCCTGCCAGAATGAGTGGCTAAAACCTCCCTTGGCCAGACCGCGTCCATTGTCAGCACACTGCTTTAGTCACTTAATAATTGAAGAATTTCAGACCAAAGTCTTTTGCACATTGTTCAACTTTACTGTGATAGCCTTCTTAACCTCCGTCTGAGTTGTGTTGAACCTTTTGCAGACGTATTCTGAAAGAAAGACATTGTGAATTTCAATTAATTGTACATGTCTACAAAAATGCAAAATGATGAAGGAAAATTTTTTTATTGAGATCAATAATAATCATTGCACCAATTCTATTTTGAGCAANAGAAATGAATTTTAAAATGCAGAAATCCGCAGTGGAGAAAACTCTACTCTGGTTAAATATGCAATTGGGCCATTACAGAGCTGCCAGGGCCAAAAAAAGTCCCAAAAACTCATAGAAAACTAATTTCCGAGGGTAAACAGTAATTCCCTATTTTCACCAGTCTTTGCTTGACCTAAATCATCAGTCCAAACCACAAAAAAGCAACCCCCAAGTTAAAATTTATAGCTTTTGTGTTAGCAAAATAGTCAGATTTTCACAATGCACATTTCATTTCCATTATGTATAGGTTAGCAAAAAATATTTTTAAACAAACTATGGTGTTTACCCTGAAAAGAAATTAAAGGGAAAGAAAACTTGGCAAATAAACGATCCTGAAGAACATGTGAGGTAATGAAATTTGCCCTGACAGCCCCTCAAACATGTTAATTGTATGTTATTTATTAGCATGGGTCTTTCTCAGTAATATATCATGATGGTCCCTTGGAGGCAGTTGTGGATAACATTAAATAGATAATTTTTAATAAATCACAAACTAAAAGTTAAATGAAATGTAAATTGTTTTTTTTTTTTTTTTGTTTTTTTTGTTTAGATTCAACTGCATTTAAACAAATATTTTGATGAGCAATTGATCACAGTTTTATAAGAAATAAAGAGACTAAACAGTTTCTTTGTTGGCTAAAAGGGAAGCTATACATTATAAATTATAACTTGTTTGATGTAATATAGATATGATGTTTACAATGTACACTACATATTAGATCAATTATCTCATTTTCAATTTGATTAGATGCCCAAATGATCCAATGCATTACTGTAATACATACCTTCCTCAATCCGATTTTTCTACACTCTGTACCCTTCCACTATGCTCCTGAATTTAAACTGTCTTGATAGCTGTATACTCATTTGCTGCTTGTCTCATATAAACAAAGACTTAGACAGGATACCACGCATCTGATAACACCTAATAGGCGGTTTCTGTTACTAGTGTGACAATAGCTACAGGAGTAGTTCCTAATAATATGTGCCAGGGTAACAAAAGAAATTCACAGTTGTTGAATCTGTGGTTATGGCTGGTGGAGTAGGGCATTCTCTAGCTAACATCAGTTGACTGTTAAACCTTACAACTGATTTAACATGGTTTATAATAAAATGTATCTTTATAAACATATTAATTTGTCCTCGTTTCCCATCCTTTTTGAGGGACAGCACTATACCCTTAATGTCCACTTACTTTTACATTATATTTTATATATAAAGCAGGATTGCACTTTCACTTTTTAAAACAGCCAAGGTCGAGTAAAATCTGATTAGATAAGGTTGACTTTCAATATAATATAAGAAATATGAAGTAAGTGAATATGATCACACAAAAAGTAAAAATACATTATATACTGATATTTAGACTAGTTTCATTATTTTTCATATAACCCAGCTTTATAAAAATTCCCTATATGAATTAGCATAGGATTTCCTATAGGTTCCTATAGAAATGCCTATAAGATTTCCTATAGGATCCTATAGGAATTTTTGTAATGGTCTGAACATAAATTAAAAATTAAAATTATATACTGATATTTAGACTAGATTCATTATTTTTATTCAACTCGGCCTTATAAAAATTCCCTATATGAATTAGCATAGGATTTCCTATAGTTTCCTATAGAAATTCCTATAAGATTTCCTATAGGATCCTATAGGAATTTTTGTAATGGTCTGAACACAAATTTAAAAAAATTATCTCAGCTTCCATAATTTGGTACAAAAACATTCCTAATGATAAAATATTTCTCCATAAAAGATTACTTTACAAATGATCAATTTTTTCAAGATTTCTTGAAAATAGAAACTAAAGAATTTCTATAGAATCCTATAGAAGACTATAAGATTGTGCATTATAAACAATAAAAAGCATTTTTGCTTTAATAGTGATATATAATTGACAATTCAACTGATAAAATTGACCTGTTTCAAATATCTATTGTTTAGAATGATATTTGTTTATAACATATGCATTTTTCTCAAGATTTTAACTTACAACAATTTCCTATAGGATCCTATAGGAAATCCTATAGGTAATGTGCCCTATAGGATCCTATAAGATTTTCTATAGAATCCTATAGGAATCCTATAGGATCCCATAGGAAATTTTTGTAAGGGTTACAATGCTCAATATCAGCAGAGATATTATTGCGAAACCATTACGTGTTCTATTGGAATACATTTTACAGAGCAGTACCTTTTTCGGATATCTGGAAAACGGCTTACATCTGCCCGATCTATAAAAAAGGTAATAAAAGCTGCATCGAAAATTAAAGGCATGTTTCACTACTACACACACTGGACAAAAGAAGTGTCACCCCCTAACTCAGAGTAATAAAAGTAGGCAGATCTTGGGTATTTATAATGCCTGGTCTACTTATAATGTGACTAATGAGTATAAAACCGCTATACCATTGGATTGTATTGTTGGTCTTGTACATGTACAGCAAATGTTATTCCTGTCTTCCTCCAATATGGCAAGATACAGGCAATTATCTAACGGTTATAGGTGCAAGTTATTAACCTGAAGAGGCGGAATATAAGCAATGTCAGAATATCGATACAATTGAATTGTTCAGTCAGAACCGTGCAGAGGGTCTGGTCTCGGTATAGAAACACTGGATCAAGAGACAAATTGCCTCTGATGGGTCGTCCAAGAAAAAATACTGGCCGTGAAGACCGACGACTGATTTTGATGTCCAGGTTGTCAAAGTTCGACACTGCTTGTCAGTTGACAACACAGTGGAACAATTTCACACATAAGAATGTGTCTGTGAAAATTGCTAGGCGTCGGTTACATGCTCAGAGAGTGTACAGCAGGGTAGCAAGACTGAAACCTCTTATATCGTTACAAAACAGGCAACGTAGAGTAAACTAGGGTCAACAGGATCTGGA